TGGCGCTCAATCCTACACAACAGCCCTCTCCCTAAACACAGATAGGTAGGGGCAACCCATGCTGATGCTCCTGAACCTTCTTATCCCCCCTCATCCTTCACAACGGCTTCAACATACCATCATTTAAACATACTATTTACATATACAGATTTGACAAATTGAGCCAGTATTTACTGGCTAGGTAAAGCCTGGTACTGGGGGGATGGGCTTGACATGATCATCAAGCTTTGTTCTGCTGCCCCTGGCCAGGGTCCGGCCTCTGCGTGGCACTCAGCACAGCACAGCCATCTGGGCAACTGTTGCTGAGCTCCTGCATCTGTCCCTGTGCTCCCAAGAGGCTCTAGAAGCCCTCCCCCCAGGATGATGACCACCTCCCACTCCCACATCCCTAACACACTGTGTCAATGCTCTGCTCTATGGCAAAGGGGGAGACTTCGCCAGAAATCCATGGTGTATGTGCGCTACAGAAAGTGCCTAAAGACCCGTTACAAATAGTATTGTGGGAGCCATTTTTTCAGGGACATTCAGAGGGAGTGCACCACGATGACTAAGAGTACAAACTCTGGAGCCTAGCTGCCTGTGTTCAAACCTTGGCTCTCTCATGTACTTGCTTTGTGACCTTGTGCAAGTTACATAACCTCTCTGAGCTTCAGTCTCCTCCAAGTAAAATGGAAATAATAATAGTACCTTCCTCAGAAGGTTTATGAGGATTAATTCAGCTTAACATGCATAAAGTGCTTAATATTTAAAATTTATAAAGGTAGTATTTATATTTTTAAAGTTCTTAAATCAGTAAGAGCAAAATTACATATATACAAATATACATAAATGTATTTATAAATGTACACAATGTATACATACTAATATATAAATATACGTCATTATATAGTATTATATGTTTAGTGTACACTACATATACTAAGTGAACTATGCAGTAAATATTATATATGATTATAGTCCGCTATACTTTATAGAGTATATTTAGCATAATGTATATGTATGTAAGTGTATACATTTGTGTATGTACACACAGGATTAAAGTTTACAAGAAGTAGGGGGAGAAATGATCAAATTTACTACCCTAACATAGCTATCATCATTTTAAAAGTTATTTCCTTCTGATTGCTTTTCACTTGCATACATTTTTACATCATGCTGGACCAACAGTTTTGTGTCTTGATTTTTTTTTTTTTTTAGGAAGATTAGCCCTGAGCTAACTACTGCCAACCCTTCTCTTTTCGCTGTGGAAGACCGGCCCTGAGCTAACATCCATGCCCATCTCCCTCTACTTTTTCCGTGGGACGCCTACCACAGCATGGTGTGCCAAGCGGTGCCATGTCCGCACCCCGCACCGCTAAGAAGCAGAACATGCAAACTTAACCACTGCGCCACCGGGCCAGCCCCTGTGTCTTGATTTTTTTGCATAAATAATGTCATAAACGCTGTATCATGTGATTACACAACCTTAGAGATCTTTTCTTAATGGCTGTATAATATCCCAGTGAGCAGACAGACCTGAATCGACTTGGCTGTTTGTCCTTGTATCTGCTAGGGTGCTTTAGGCTGCAAGCCAGAAGAAGCCCTGACTCAGCCACCGTAAACAGCGAGGAGCTGTCTTCTCTCACATCAAAGAAACCTTGGGAAGAAAGCATCTCTGAGGCTGATTAACTTAGCAGCTCAATATCATCACAAAGTCCTTTCCATATTTGTGCTCTGCCATCCTGCATGTGATGGATGATGGATTGCCCTGATTTTGACCCTTAGGGTCATAATATGCCTGCAGCAATCCAGGCTGAAGTGGAAGAACAGATTGACTCTTATATCTCTTCTTAAGAGTGAGAAAAGCTTTCCACAGTATCCCAGCAGAACTGGGTCACACACCTACTTCTAAGCCAACCACTGTCAAGGGGACAGGATAACCTTGTTGATTTAGACCAGTCAGGATTCATCCCAGGCTGGGGATGTAGGGGACATTCCCCAAGAGTGGAGATGTGTGGATAGCTGAACAAAACAAATTTCCTTTCGAAGGAGAGTAGGGTGGACAGATATTAAGGAGACAGCTAACAGTGTCTGTCTTGTTCCTTGTTTGGACATTTCACTCACATCCAATTTGATGGAGCGATTAAGTCTGAGTAAAGGGATTCAAATTCTTAAAGGAGGTGGCATTTGATCTGGGCTTCACAGGATGTGTAAATGTCAACAGGGGAGCAGACAGTATTTCAGGCTGAAGTTCCTGCATGAGTGGAGTCAGAGAGGTAGTCAATTGTGGAGCATTTTCCAGGAAGAATGGGGATCCCTGCGAAGTTAAGGTGTCGGATGGTGGAAGTGAGGGGTGGAAGGTGAGTCTAGATTGAGGTCGAATTAGGGGAAATGCTTAAATGTTGATTGAAGGAGACTGAACTCAGGACTTTGAAGCCATGGGAAGCTACTGAAGAAGTGAGAGAATAAATGAGACTCAGAAGAGCTGAGCTTTGGGAAAAAAGCCCTGGGTGCGGATACAGGATGCACAGCATGAGAGAAGTGGGTGAAGGGAGACCACTTAGGAACAGGCCACAACCGTCCAAGGGTGGTGCCTCAGCCTCGCCCCATGGCAGTGCTACTGGGAAGGAGGTGAGAGAGTCCACCCAGCCAGGGAGATGGACCACAGGACCAGCGGTGCTTTCCTGTTAGGACAGGGACCGAGGGGTGGGGTGACAAGATGAATGATGGCGTTGTTAACCAAGCCAGTGAAGAAGCAAAGACAAAGGATCTATGAAGAGAATGGCCCACCTGCGGCCTGCACAGAGTCCTGGATTTCCAGGCAAGGTGCCAACACCTCCAACAGGGACAGAAGAGAGCAGCTCAGGAGGTCCAAACAAAATGCACTTATGCCGACGTCAGCGAGGAAGGGGAAAACTAGCCGAATGAACTGAGGTGCATTGTTAAAGTCTGGGAGGCACGCTCTGTGAAAGTTTTTGTCCATTAATTGAAGTGGGGCTTCCAACTGGATTTCAGTAAAACAGCCTTCACAAATACAAGACAGAGAAAAGGAGTGACAAAGCCTTATCTACCGTTATTGTCCCATCTTCTCCAAGGAAAGGCACTGGACATCAGATTGTAAGTGTGGGACACCATCACTGAAGTGCTCCACAGCCTCCTGACCACAAGTCAGTCTGGACCCAGGCCTGGCTCTATAAAAGGTGGGACGAGTTACCCACATATTTATTCCTTCATGCATTCATTCATTTATCCACATTTATTAAGTACCTGCCATGTGCTAGGCACTGGGCCAGAAAGAACCATGATCAAAGCAGTTATGGTCCTGCCCTCACAGAGCTCACGGTCAGTCCACAGTGATGCAGATGAGCACAGTGCGGCTGATAAAAGGCTTTGACAAGGAACCTCAGCAGAGAAGCACCCAGCTGGAAGGTGTGACATCTGGGGTGGGGACTGCAGAGGAAAAAGCAGCTGCCTAAGTGGAAGTAGCACGGGAGGCTGACATCAGTGAAGTGCCTCCTGGGATGTGAGCAGTTAACTATCTCCCACTTAATCATCACGCAGCCCTGTGAGGTGGCTATGACAACCACCTTCACTTGTCAGATGAGGAAACTGAGGCTCAGAGAAACTTGTTCCGAGACTGACGCCAAGCCCAAGTCCTTGACCCCTAGCTGAGCCACCCCTTCATCCAGCCCTCCACCTGTGCTCACCCAGATGACTGCCGTAGCCTCCTAATGGGTCCCCCAAGCCCACTCGGATCCTCCTTCAATCTACCCTCCACACAGCGGCAGGGATCTTTTGAAAAAGCGGATGTGTTTTGTCACCTCCCATGGGAATGCCTCAACAGTTTCCCTTACTGTTCAGATGGAGGAAAGACTCCACATCATGGACTTCAAGGCCCTGTGTGACCTGGCACCTCCTCTCTGTGCTCCAGTCACACTGGCTTTTTCTCAGACCACCTCCCCACTGACATCCTCCTCCATACCACAGGACCTTTGTACATGCTATTCCTTGCCTAGAACACTCTTCCCTACCTTTGCCTCCAAAAGCCCCTACCTTAGTTGGCTCATATCCATCCCTCAGTTCTTGGCCCAACTGGCACCTCCTCTAGGACACCTGACTTGACGGCCCAGTTTAGGGAAATTTCCTCTGTTGTACACAGTTTATCAATTATCCTTTCATTAGACCAGTGATTCTTAATTCTGGTCGCACACTGAAATCACCTGGGGAAAGTTTAAAGAACACTGATGCCCAGACCCCAGCCCAGGTCCAGTGCATCAGAGTCTCTAAGTGGGAGGGTGGGGGAGTGGGAAGGAGGGGTGACCTGGGCACCCATATTTCTTAAATGTTCCCCAGATGCAGCCACAGTGGAAAAGCAGTGCTTTATCATAATTTTCTCAAAGCCTGCGTCATAACTTCGTTCACGTTTGTCTCCTCCACTAGACTATAGGCTCCATGAGGGCAGAGTCCCCCAGCACCTCTCCATTCCTGAGAAAGGAGGCACTCAGTAAACACGTACCCAGCAGAGGAGGCTGACTGGAACAGCCAGCGTGTGCCAGGCCAGTAGACTTCACGCACTCCGTCCTGTTCCATTCTCACAAAAACCCTAACAGGAATTCCTGTTAGTCTCATTTGACAGGTGGGGAAACTGAGGCTCAGGAAGGCAGAATCAAGATCTCAAAGAGAAGCAAGTCCCAGAGGATAGATTCCAGTCCCTGTCCATCTGACTCCAGAACTTTCTATCCAATTCTGCCCATTCCTTCAAGATACGGTAAAAAATAACACCTGTGAAGATGCCACACCTCACGGAGACTCATCACGTGTTTGACTTGGTCCTTCCCGGTCTCTTGGTCCCACAGCCCAGTTCTAAGGAAAACAAAATCCTTGTGAGTGGAGAGAGAACAAGACAAAGGCCCGGCATCCAGGTGTCGGGTCCCCTCGCCCCAGAGAGAGGCCTCTAATTGGATCCCACCCAGCTGACCTCGAGCTGCCTGCTGACAGCTGGCTGGTGGCCGAGGGCGCAGCAAAGGGCTGGGTCAGAAAGGTCCTCCAAGTGGCCCACGGTCCGGGCAGCAGAGTTTAGCCTCAGTGGCTTTGATTGGCCTCAGAAGCCACACTCTGCTGAACGCCATTCTGACCTCCATCCCAGGAGACCCCGACACCAGCCCAGAGCTCAGTTTAACACAAGCCGGAGACAGCTAAGAAGTTTAGAGTCTGGTTTTGGATTTCTGTCCCTCTTCATTTTTCTCCTTATGAACTAGGAGACTGAAAAATCTTTCTTTTTTTTTTTTTCTTTAAGATTGGCACCTGAGCTAACAACTGTTGCCAATCTTTTTTTTTTCCCCTGCTTTTTTACTCCCCAAATCTCCCCAGTATATAGTTGTATATTTTAGTTGTGGGTCCTTCTAGTTGTGGCATGTGGGACACCGCCTCACTGTGGCCTGATGAGCGCTGCCATGTCCGCACCCAGGATCCGAACCAGTGAAACCCTGGGCCACGGAAGCAGAGCACACGAACTTAACCACTCAGCCACCGGGCCGGCCCCTGAAAAATCTTTCTTAATCACAGAATAACACACACACGGTGAATGAAAGGGTGGAGACCCTGGAGAGCTGTGGTTCTCAGCCCTGGCTGCCAGGGGAGCATTTAAAAAATAATGGTGCCCGGGTCCCACCTCAGACCTATTGCATCTGAATCTATCAAGGTGGGACCCAGGTACCTATATGTCCTTAGATCTCCCCAGGTGGTTCTAATGTGCAGTCCGACTGGAGAACCACCGCACTGGAGGGTGAATGGCTCCTCAGAGGGGATGGAGGGTGAAATAGTGTGCGGGGGGGTGGGGGGGAATCGCCCAGTCCCTCCTCCCTTGTCCTGGTAGCAGCTGCCTAGCTTTCCTTAGGGAGCCATCCCTCCCCCATCCTCATCCTGTGGTTTAAGATGGTCTGACTCTTAGCTCAGGTTTAGTCACATGACTAGGCCTGGCCAATCAGAGTTTTGCATCTCCCTAATGGCAGCGATTGGTTCAGGAAAGGCATGGAGCCCATCGGCTCTGGGGCTAATGTGGCTGCTGCTGAGGAAGAAAAGTTCTCTTCTCTCTAGGGTTGCTATGTATGGTCCCTCCAGCAGTCATTTTGCCACCTCCTGGAAAGATTCAGCCTGAGAATGATGCCCTAAGAGAGGAACTGCAAAGCTAACAGCTGAAAAGAGAGAGATTCCAGTGATGTACTTTGAGCCCTAGATCCAGCCATACCTGAAGTTTTCAGTTCCCTTTTTCCTTTCAGTCTCTCTGAGTTGTGCTTCCGTTATGTGTGGTTTTAAAAAGCCTGACTGCTACAGTTGCTGTTGGTATGTCTGCTCCCTGGTGAGCTTGGTGGGGCGAGGCTATGGGCCAGATTCCATTCCGCACATCCCAGGGCACCCGGCACAAAGTGAGAGAATGCGGAATGAGCGGGCAGAGTCCCAGCTCTCTGCCCTCCTCCACTATACCTTCTTCTTTCCTGTTCTTCGGGGTCTCCTGCAGCCCAGAGTACTCCCAGAAAAGAGCCTGCGCCTGGAAGCAGTAGCCAAGCCACTGCAGAGCTGGCCATCCATGTGTATGTAGCACTTCCTGGGGCCTCACTCTGTGTGGGTCAGAGTCAGGCCTGGCTTTGGAACCCAGGTCTGCCTCTCAGCCAGGGCCGGGACTGGCGTGCTTCTGAGAGGGAGGGTGTCCTTAAACCTCAGTCCCAGCCTGCACCTGTGACTTTAAGCAGGTCACATGACCCCTCCACACCTCCACTTCCTCACGTATAAACTATTACAGTTTCACAGAGTGTCTACTAGTTGTCAGGAGCTGCTCGAATTGCTTTTCTGTAACGTCCCACTGACCCCACATGGCTGGCCCCCTTCCCCTCTGTGGTCCTTACTCAAATGACGCCTTCCCAGGGAAGCCTCCCTCCGCTGCCCTCCCATGATCTCAGCTCTTCACACCATCTAAGGGCTCTGCAGGCTTCCGTATTCACTTTTGTCTGAGTCCTCGCATTCAAATGTGAGCGCCAGGAGCGAGGACTGCTTCCCTTGTATTCACTGCTGTTTCCCCAGCACACAGTAGGTGCTCAATCAGTTTTTGTTAACTGAGTGAATGGATTCAGTCCTCACAAGCACCCCGGGAGGTAGCTCCTATTATCAGCCCTAAGGTGGTATCATTATCCTTGAAAATCTGATGTGTAGGAGGCCCCTTGTACATAGTAGGTCCTCCATTGACGTGGTTCAGAAATGCTGTGTTCTTGATTTCCGGAACAACCTGAGAAAGAAGAGATTGGGGTGCCTTGTCAGCCGGCTCCCAGGTCACTTATAATACAGCAAATAATTTGACATCTGCTTCCTCATTCGGGTTCTTTGTGGGGCCAATCAAGGGACAGCAAGTTTCCCGTCTGGGAGCTGCTAGTGAAGGTTAAATAATGAACGGCAGGACCAAGCGGATGAGCCTGGACTTCTTGGTGGCTGCAACCTCCTGCCTGTGCCCACTAGGACTCAGCCACATGGACACTCTGCTCTGACCTCAGCCCCACATGGTCAAACGGACAGCCTCCACTCTGCTGGCCCCAGCCCAGCCCCCAGCCCTCAGCCCCCCTGACCTCTCTCTGGGTAGAAAGCACACAGCAGGAAGGATGTCAAGAGGCAGTTTCCAGAAGCGGAAACCCAAACCTGAGGAGCACTCGAAGAGACACTCAGACACACTCCTAATCAGAGAAATGCAAATTACGGCAATGAGACAAGACTTTCTGCTTTCTATTGACTAGACAGGCAAACACTAGGGAGCTGGGTGACGCCCAGTGCTGTCCGGAGGCGGGCTGTGGGACCCTCCTGTGGGGCTGGTGTTAACTTGGGAAATTAGGACATCCTTCCCTATGACCCCTCAATTCTGCTCCAGGGTGTACAGCCCAAGGATATTCTCACACAGGTCCTCAGGAGGACAAGCCCGAGGACGTTCTTTATAGCATCGTTTGGGGTGACAGGGAGTGGGGAGCAATCTGGGTATCCATCTCCAGGAGAATAAGTAGCATATGGGGGGACACTCAGCACAGAGCCTCAGGCAGGTGTTGGATGAGGTGAGCACCCAGCCACATGGATGGATCTTAAACTTGTAGTGCTTAATGGAAACTCAGGGTGAGATCTGTGACACACAACGTGATTGCCTGGGTCGCCGCTCAGCAGACATTCACACCCCTGTCTCTTGCAGCAAAAACACTTCCCCACCCTACTCACTCTGGGCCTGGCTGCCACTTGCTTTGTCCACTGGAATATGGGCTGAAACGACCGTGTACCATTCCCCCACTGAGGCTTAAGAGGCATCACAGATTTCTCCCACCCCGCTTGCATTTCTGCCGTTGTCACGAAAACGTGCCCTGGGTAGACACTGGCCCCAGAATGACAGGACACACACAGGGCAGACCTGAACCCAACCCACAGCCCAGAACCAAGCCCAGTCAGCCCACAGCCCACAGCAGTCAGCCCACCCAATCCGCACACTCACAAGCAAGAAAAATAAGGCTTGTTTTTGTAAGCCACTGAGTTTGGGGGTGTTGTCATACAGCCTACTGCAGAAATAGCTGACTGATACACAGTCAGTGTATTTATACACATTTGAAGTATGCAAAAAGTGACAAATTTGTAAGAACATGTATAAATGTAAATACTTTAAACAGAATTGAGGGTTGCCAGTAAAGGAGAGAGGGGAGTGGGGGATAAAGAGAAATTAATTAATCAATCAGTCGGAGACCTGCATGGACAACTGATGGTCACTGCCTCGATCTGAGCAGTAAGATCAGCTCACTCTCTTCCTCTAAGTTTCTGCTTCACCAAAAACAAGCCCATGAAGGCAAGGACCTAGAATAGTCCTGGGGAGGGCCACAGTTGGTGCTCAATAAATACTAGTTGAACCAAGGACTAAGACCTCTTTGACCCTGGGACCCCTAGAACCTCCCTTCTGGCAGGAAATTTCACACTACTTTGTTGGAATGCAAAACTCAAGTGCCTGGGCGGGGTCTTTGCCACCCTGAACTCACAGGTCTCAGGAGCTTCATAAACAGGTCCAAGGTGCCCTCGGTGCTGGCCACTGGCGTGATCGCAGGAGGCGAAGCCCGTCTTGACCCTGGCCCCGGACTACTTCCACTGGGCTAATCGCAGGGAGGAGGAAGGGTGGGATGAACGGAATTAAATCTTCCTCACCATCTCAGCCTGATTACTTGTCAACTTCAGGCCTAAAGGGACTTGGATGAGACCTCCACGGGGAATAAGGAGGCAGCAGAGCAGAAGGAGCTCCCAGCCCAGGAGGCAGGACAAGCTTCCAGACCACTGTTACATTTTCAAGGGCCACTCCACCTCTCGCTACCCTCCAGCTCATGTAGTTCTAAATAAACGTCCCGGGGAGAAAAGCCTTGCAGAAAGGGAAGGAAGGGTTAAGAAGTGAGCCATGAATTTCATTTCCAAGGAAACTAGGAAGTGGAAGAAAACCAGAAGTGGAGAAAACCCAGAGCAAATGGCACCAGCACCACCAGAGAGCCCTGGTCTGGAGTCCAGCCAGCACTGGGTTGAAGCCCAACGCTGTTATTTCATTGGTATGGGAGTGTGAGTAATGTGCCTAGCCTCTCTGAGCCTCAGTTTTCCGCGTGTATAATGGGGACAAAAAGAGTCCCTACATCCTGGGGCTGTTGAGAGAATTCAGTGAGATGGTCTACGCACAGCGCCCGGCTCAGGCAGAGGCTCCGCATCAGAGCCCAGATGTCTGCTGAGCACCAGCCGGAGCCAGCCTTGTGCTAAGACTTGGCACCAAATGAGGCAGGCAAGGCGGTGCCCGTGTGGAGCTCAGGGTCTTAGGAAAACAAGACAGAAAACAAGTAAATACACACAACGAGATCATTTCAGGGGTTTGCACAAGTGGCACCGCAACGTGATCAGAGAGGGGAGTCTGTTTTAGACAGGATGGCAGGGGAAGGCTTCTCTGAGAAGAGGACATGGAGGTGAGATCTGAAGCTGGGAAGACGCCCATTCTGGGAAGCGTTGATGCAAACAGAGCACAGGAAGACACCCCATTCCCATCAGCAAACAACACCCCCCTGGCCTGGGAGGGGCAGCCTGAAGGCTGCTGGGAAAGGTCCTGCCCACAGGTCCCCAGGCCCTGAAAGC